CCCCCCCCCCCCTACAACCCCTGCCGGTACGAGACTCGAACTCGCAACCTTTGGGTTACGAGTCCAACTCGTCCGACTCTCTAACCATTAGGCCACGACTAATGAGAGACATTTATTTGTTTCATAAATGTTTAATGTTAAGTTTATTAATTATTTTTACAATATTATTGCATTATAATACGAATTATTGTATGTAGAGGGTAGTTAGCGACAGATTTAATTAGCTGATGCTTTTGCTTTTATAAATTAAATTAAATTTATGCATTTAGCAGATGCTTTTATCCAAAGCGACTTACAGTGCATTCAGGCTATAAATTTTGTTATCAGTATGTGTGTTCCCTGGGAATTGAACCCATGCTAACGCAATGCTCTACCAATGAGCCACAGGAACATTACTTTTGGAACTTCAAGTTTAGGAACTTTCTTTTGTGCTGTAACAAAACAAATGATCTTGTAAAGTTTCAAAACGTTTTTCAAAGTTTTCAAGTCTCTCTCACCTCCAGTATTCTTTCGTCATCGATCTCGTTGAACACAGTGCCGTTGATCTGATTGGGTTTCAGTGCCACCCAGTTAAACACCGGCATCCGGAACTTAGTCTTGATGGGTTTCTTGATCTTCACAGCTACACAGCATGACAGAAAGCACATGTCAACAACATCAGGACAATAAACATCCAGTCTGGTCTACTGAGTGATGTGGAGCTGGTTTGTGAACAGCAGGCACAGATCTGAGCGTGTCCAGTGCACATTTGTGAGGGTACGTGAGGGGGAAATGTGTGAACATGAGACCTTTGATACTGTCAGCATGAACACTCTCAGCCTAAAAGAGCTCTAGTCTCTCATATACTGATCAATGTGATTGTGTTGGCAGGATATTCTGATCCTAAATCACACATGAGGCGATTTTATGATAATGAGAGACTGAGAATTACAGAGAAAAGCTAAAGCACGAAAGGGATCTCATGTCTCAACTGTTTCTCTTTGAGAGCATTGGAATTGAATAGAGAGTAAATGGAGACTTGCTTAGATAGAGACTCTTCTCAGATGTTTCTCTTGAGAAAAGGACATCTCATGTGTCTCCGCTAGAGTTTCAAATAAGATCTCAACAATGTCTCAAACCGCGCTAGATTTGTCAAGATATCAGATACTTCCAAGAGAATGATCTGAGCTTTTCATATTCATTTTATGGCTCTATATTCATATGTCAATTTGTGTTTATTTTGATTTATATAAATACTAGGAGAAACACTAGGCAAAATTGATGAAACGTGACTGAAAACTTAATCGTAAACTATGAAAGAGCACCTCTGAGCAATATCATTATCCCATGTGTTTAGGCAATGAGACAGACGCTCATGGCTGTTCTTGGGTTTACATATGAGGATGTGACTCAAACAGCGTCTCAGTAGGAGAATGAGTTAAAAACTTCCAAAATAATCCACTTAATGACTGAATCTGACTCACAGCAAATACAGATTTCAACATGCTTGATTAAGGCTGAATCAAAATCCAACAATATTGATCTCTGGTCAAAGGTTACGAAGAGAGAATGAGAGCAGTTTTCAGTTGAGGGTTATGGGTAATATGATGGTGTGATATCAGGCCATGCAGAAAGTGTGGCCAGAGCAAAGAGAATAAACTCTCAGTGTGTGTTAAACATTCCTGAATTTACGCAACTATCGCCTTATCTGACGATCAGTCGCCTGTAACGGCACGGCACACTGTTTCAACATGCAAACACAACACAATCAATCACTTACTCACACAGCGGGCATGGCATTTTTAGTCTTACTGCCTTACGATGCACATTCATTTATTTAAAGGGACAATACAATGTTGAATGTGGTCATTTGACACTAGTTGATCAAAAGTAATTTCATAAATTGAAGCTTTATAGTATAACAACTTTATACTTTGAAGACTGTTGCGTGCAAAACATCCTTTTAGGGATGAACAATTTGGGGAAAATAATTATAATTTTTATTGTGATTATTATTGAATAAAAATATTAAGCACAATAAAAATAAAAATACTGTAATAATTCTATTGTACTATAAAATAAGCAATGAGTGATTAATAAAATAATATAAATTGTATAGTACAACTTTAAAATTACAATACTACTATTTACATCTTCATTTTCAGATGTTAAACCATGCAGTAAGTATTTATGTTGCGAGTTGTTCTAGTTGAAACTGCACTGGACTGCTAGACCTGTTTGTGTTTACTTGGAGTTCTGCAGTTCTTAATGGCAACCTATTGACAAATAGATCTGGAGTCGATGTGAATTGTAGTTTTGTTTTCCATGAGGTTGCGGTTCATGGCTTGAGCTCTGGAAAGAGGGATTTTGTCCACTGTGGAGTGTAGAAATAAGAGCTTATGTCTCATGGAACATGTGGTCTCATTGGTTGGCATTAGAGTCCTGTTATTTGCTGACCTCTGTAAGCAAGGTCTAAAGAATGTTCCTCTCTGGTTTTTAAACGCTAAGGAAAAGTTCTGTAAAACAGCGTCCAATTTCATGCTCAGTTTCAAGAGGAACAACCAGCAATGCAGCTTCGTAGTCATTGTCAGATCAAGATTACAGAGGAACCGAGTGTGTTTTCTTAGAGACTAAAATACCATGCCCATTCCCACACACACACACACACACACACACATAAGACTGAGCACACACGGCATGACACAGAAAACCTACAGTACAGTTTGATGGGTCCCTCTATGGCGGCGCAACAGGTAGAGCAAAAATAAGCAGAGAGAAAGAAGTTAAAGAGCAAACAAAACTCAACCTCTGATTCCAAAGATCTGATTGGCTTTTTCCTACATAGTGCATTACCACTGATTCCTAAATACAGATTGTTTCATAAGGAATGATAAAGATCAATTTAAGAGAGAAGTTACCAACAAACTGCGAAGTAAAGCACAGTTTTTTAAATAATAAAAAGCAGCTGAAGACTTTAATAAAAATAAAAAAAAGTTGTTCAGATTCACTGTACACTCTGCAGTATGTACAGTACGTAGACTACCGTTTGGGGTCAGTATTTTTCTTTCTAAAATAAATTAGTATTTTATTCAGCAAGGATGCATTGAATTGATCAAAAGTGACAGCAAATGTTTCTATAATGTTGCAAAAAAATAAATAAATGCAGTTAATTTTAACTTTATCAAAATATCAGTTTCCTGAAAAATATTAAGCAGCATAATTGTTTTCAACATTAATAATAAATGTTTCTTGAGCAGCAATGAGAATTTGCATAGGTGTATAGGAAGTATCCAAATTTGTATGAGCATATTCTGCAATATTGCTCCTGAAAACCTTCATCTATTTATAAAACTAATTATTACCTCTTGTTTAATGGACATCAATGTTTGCTCCATTAAAATCAATATGAAACTTTATGCATACTACATAGAGAATAAAGCGGATTGATAAATTAGTTGATGAAAATGACTACCATTTATTTTTTTATCTGATGTTATTGTTCTATCTGATCTACTGTACAGTCAAAGAGATTATGACTCAGGCTTCAGCAGACATGTTTCTCTTCAGCTTGTTCAGACATTAAACCTTTTACAGGAAACCTAACAAACAGTTGTGCTGTTATGATTGTTATCAGTGGTCTATGAGGGGAGGCTCCAGAGATCCGCATGCATGTCAAGTCAAGTCAAGTCACCTTTATTTATATAGCACTTTATACAGTACGTGAACTTTAAACTTCTTAAGATAGTGGATAAGATGGTTAAGTGGTTAAGATACTGTTTGGTATACTGTAGTTTGAGCGTGTGAGAATGACTGTATATGATTGTTATGGTTTTGCGGGGCCTGGGAGAGGAGGTGGAGGAGGAGGAGGAGGAGGAGGAGCTGGTGCTGGAGCAGCACATGAACCATTTGCTACTGGAAAGAGGGAGAAAGTATAGGTTCCATTAGCCATTTATTTATTTGATTTATTTTGAAAAACTGACTTCGTGAAAGGCTTTGTGGGATTCACCTAACTAAAATATTCGTGATCGCACATGTATATTACACTATCCTTTTAGAGTTACAACTAATTTCAGATTCCCCGCCCCTGAACATCACATACTTCACTTTATATACTGGCTACATTAGATGTTCTCTTCCTGTCTAAATGGGCGGTTCTTGACCAGAATAAGCTGCAATTATTAAGGAAATGTGTGTGCAAACCACAACAAAGTCCTCTAATTCTGATTCTGATCAATATAGACCAGGGCTTGTGCCGAGAGTCAAAAGTCTGACTGGCTGTCAGGGTCAGAAATGTATTTTTAATATTTGCCCCCTGGGGTTGACTTCCAGAGGCATTTTTTAAACCTTTAAGGGCAATTTTAAGAATTTAAATTCAAGTTTATTTGTATAGCGCTTTTCACGATACAAATCGTTGCAAAGCAACTTTACAGCAAATTAAGTTTCTACAATATTAAGTGGTAGCTTATCAGTGGTGACTGTCAGTTAATGTACATATGGCAGAAATGTACGGAAAAATCAATTGAAGATGTAATCAAACAGACGAACACTATTAACAGCAATTATATGATGCAATCAAACTTATAGCAAAATTTGGTAGTTCTGTATTTTGTTTCACGGTTGGCATCATCTGAGGTCCTCTAATTTAATGCCTTCATATCAGCAATTATTATATGATGCAATTTCCTTGTTAAAATGTATCTGTGTTGCCTTTTATGTCAAATTCTTGCATTTATTCATCTAATTCAATCAGTCTTATCATCAATACAATTTTAATGTCAACAAAAATGATCTTTACTCTGCAAAGCCGGGACAGAAATTGCATCTGACATGGCATGTTTATTTAGACACTGTTTAAGGCTGCTCAGATGTGGCATTCAATAATTGTATAATTTTATGAGATTAATTTATCTCAGCTTTTTTAAAGAAGGCCTATAAAAATTGTAAAGTAAAAAATAGGAACTCGTTCAACGTGAGCAGCAGTCGCAATAGACGCTTTTCATTCAGTTTCACATAAGATTTCTTTTTAATTTAATTTCTCTATTAGTGCGACTGGATCTTAGCCCTGCGTTTGACACTATCGACCACAATATTCTTTTGAGTAGACTGCAAAATTATGTTGGCATCAATGGAATTGCATTGGCATGCTTCAAATCTTACTTTATGGAATGATATTCCAATATTTAATATTCAAAAGGAATTGCAAATTGTATCTACATTAAATCACATTATATTTGTCCCAAATTATTGTTAATGTACACAATGACTTCATTCCTAGGCTGGAAGATCTTTTATTGTGCATTTTTCAGCAAAACGTTTATCTGGGGCTTGAATAAAGTATGTATGCTTCATATAAAGTGCAATAATATGAATCATGCTTTCTCTTTCCATTTGCTCTGTTTTGTCAAACACTTCAAACTCACCACTTTGTTCATTCTTGAAGTTAACTTTTGCCTGTTTGGTGATTGGATTAACAATTTTGAACTGACGTCTTGAACTGAACGCAACGCTTCTGGTCTGCGTGCGATACCTTGAAGACCTCGCCAACTAGACGGCCATCGGGAACCAGACGAGTCCTCTGCACAATCTGACCTGTGCTGCAGCCTGGAATTAAACTACACTATGCTGGTTTCGTCTGGCCAGTGTGAGACTGAGCCTGGTTTCTCCCAAGGTTTTTTTCTCCATTTCTGTCACCGATGGGAGTTTTGGTTCCTTGTCACTGTCACCTTTGGCTTGCTTAGCTGGGGACGCTTAATTTCTGGCAATATTTGACTTTAAATATGATTTAGTTAAATTGTGCAGCTGCATTTTTTGCCCCCATCTTAGTTTTTGGTGGCAGATTTGTTCATTTTGGTAGCATTTTTCCCCCTGTTAAAAGCTCCAAACATAGTGATACTAAGTAATAATAATCAGAAGAAAATCTGCTTCCAAATAGCATAAATAAGAATTTATTACATTCATTTCCTGACTAACGTCAAACTCTTGTCCAGTATTTAGAATCAGGAGTGGTGACTTACGTGTCGCCGGCATAGGAGGAGGGGGAGGGGGAGGATCAGGCATGCTCATGCCTTGTGCCGCCCCGTTAGCCACACCTCCGTAACTGACCATGCCCTCACCGGACACCCCAGCTACACCCTGTGACCCTGGCAGATGCCCGTTCCCCTGTGGAGGGGGCGTCAGGATGGCAATGTCCCCGTCTGCTTTCTTCTGGATCTTGATGGTTCCCTGTTTCTCCAGCTCGTGGATCTTCTTCTCCAGGTTGCACTGCTTCTGAATGGTCTCGTCCTTCTCCTTCACCATCCGCCGCAGGGTGTGCACCTGAGAGCTGGCGTCTTTATACACCTCCTGTCACCACAGGGAGCATGAGTTTTGAGTTAAAACAGGGTTTCCCAGATTGGGGTTTATAAAATCCTGGCGATTCGTGAAGGAACTGATTGTGAGTTGACGGATGGCTAATTAATTAATAGAAATAAAACTGAAAATTTAATATGGCTTTTTGTGATTATCATAGGCTGCGATTTAAGTGAGTATATACATTTTGTAAAAATGCATAACATGTGACTACTAACCCACATCATAGAGCCATGAATATGTGAATGTATCGTTAAATTATTGACAAATTGATGTAAAATCTCAGGGGGTAAAACTATTTGGCAACACTTTAAAAATAGGTTTGCATTTGATTAAATTAGTTAACTACATTAGTTAACATGAACTAACAATGAAAAATATTTGTAAAGCATTTATTAATCTCAGTTAATAATAATTGCAACATTTACTAATGCATTATTAAAATCCAAAGTTATATCTTTTAATGTTAGTTAATGGTCATGAACTAACAATGAACAGTTTTAGTTTGTATTAATTTAACGTTAACAAAGATGAATAAATACTTTAACAAATGCATTGCTCATTGTTAATGTTAGTTAATGCATTAATTAACATTAACTGATGAACTTTATTGTAAAGTGTTACCAAACATTGTATGTCTAATTGGTTACAAAAATGATACAAAGATTGATTCTAGTGCTGTCAAACCATTAATCACGATTAACCAAAATAAAAGTTTTTGTTTACATAATACATGTGTGTGTACTGTGTATATTTATTATTTATATATAAATACACACACATACAGTATATATTTTGAAAATATTTACATGTATTTACGTGTATATATCTATATTAATATAATTTATATTATATATAAATCTAGTTAATATATAAACAACATATTTTTCTTAAATATATACATGCATGTGTGTGTATTTATATATATATATATATACATAATAAATATACACAGCACACACACATAGATTATGTAAACTAAAACCTGTATTTTGGATGCGATTAATCGCGATTAATCGTTTGACAGCACTAATTGATTCACATTAATAGCTAATTAGGCTCAGGTGACATCAGTGGAAAAGAAAAGTTGTTTCAGAGACAGTTTTGACATTTTCATCAAATACTATGAAGGCAAACATTTGTTTCTTTGGAATAATGTACACCAATGAGCATTGAGGAATGTGTTTTGAGAAAGTACAGTAAACACTGGTACAAAAGTACATTAGGATTTTGTGTTGACTTTAAAGGGAAGATTCTATGGATATTGTGAAATGAACTTTTCAGCATTGAGTAACAACATACACTTGAAGTACCCATACCATACAGTCAACTGAAGAACTCAAGAGGAAGTCATGTAAGGATGCATCATTTACCCGAACAGATTCCAGCTCTTTATGTTTTTGCATGAGTTGCTTCTCCAGCTCAACGATTTTTGCCATCGCCTCATTCTCTGTGTCCTGTAACTTCTCTGTCAGCTAGAAAACCACAAACAAGAGTCCACAACAAATGAGACTCCAGCTACAGAACATAAAAGTCATGAAGACACAATCACAAATAAGTCATGCTTTCTAAACTACTGAGACATGAACACTAAAATCTCAAATGATTCCAGCCAGGGTTGCACACATATTTAACTTCAGATTCGCATTAATTGTCAGTTTAATATTCTTGAATCCTGATTCATCTGAATTCTTGACTATGCAGTACACTATAAAAATCAATGGCACACTAATGTGGAAATCACCTCAGGTCAGGAAGTCATCCTTTGGCCAGATGGCCCAACTGTCACAAAATGTCAAAGGTCAAGCTACATGTATGATGGGGACCTATAAGGTTTCATTATCAGTAAAGGCTTTCAGCTGAACTCAATATTGGTCATGTAAAGGTCATGTTGTTGGGCAGGTGGTGCATTGTTAAACTAGATCCTTTGAGTGAGAGTGTAACGTTACAGGTCGGCCGACCTGGTTTTGTGGTTAAAGTTAACATTTTCGAAAATATATATATATATATATATATATATATATATATACTGCATATTGAACATGTTGGCTTATTAGACACGTTTTATATTGTTTTTTTATATATGTTATATTGTCGTAAAATCTTATCACACGAGTCTCTTCTGCAATAAGCTATTTGTTTTAATTTTTTAAATCTCATAGCCAAATATGTATTATTTTAGAGTATTAATAGTCATGATTGCAAATTAAAAATGTGTATATTTGGATGTTGGTCTAACTCGTACCATGAAGTCGATGTTATTATCTTCATTCTTGAAATGCTCCATGAGTTTCTCAAACCGCTGATCTTCTGAACACACCTGCGAAGCAATAAAGACATGCGGTGAGAGAGAACATTCAAATAATGCCCAGAGAAAAATTGTAATGAGATTTTGATGCCAGCAGAATCTTTTTGCCTCTAATAAGATTTTTTTTTTTGATATTTCAAAAACAACTTGATGCAGTAGTTCATTTGTTTTCATCCCCTTAGGAAATAATACTAGCTTGATCTCTCCTCCCCAGATCCAACAGATACAAATACATTCAGAAGCTCTTGTGATCCTCTAAAAAAACAAATCAATAACAATGTGTTTAGCAGGTGTTTGTCTAAACCTATTTACTTTATTTATTACATTATCCGTTGTCATGTCTCGTACAGCTTTTAAACTGAAAACAGTGCTTCTGTAATTCATTATCTGAAATGGTAACTTATATGGTAGTTAAATAGCCCCTAGACCTCAGTTATCATGAAAAAAGCCAGGAAATTTCAGTTTTGACAATATGGGACCTTTAAATGATAAGCACTTCTGAATATGCCACTTAACTGATTGTTTTTTTCTGGATAATATCATTATTTATTTATAATGAGTAAAATGATGTAAAAACAGTACTAACATGAGACATGTTCTCCTCTAGTTCCTCCACTCTCTCCAGCGCTGCGTTCTTGGTCTCTGCGTCCTCTAACAGAGCCCCGACATCAAACACGTTATCCAGGTATGCTTGAATCTGCACATGCAGCTTATCACTCTCGGTGTGCTTCAGTTTCTACTCAAAGACAGTGACATAGAGATAGAGAGAAGAGTGATGGATCCTCTTGCAGCTCACTCAGCAGTTATCAGAAGACTCAGCTCTGAAGTTTACTCACATCCAGATATTCGTCCAAACCCAGCTTGGTGAAGTCGTACTGTAAGTGCACTCTGAAATTCATGTCTTCCACTGAATGAACCACAATATTTATGAACTGCATGCAGGCAACCTGCAAGACAATATACACCATACTAAATTTCAACACACAAAAAAAACTGAAAACATTTAATAGGATTATTGATGAAGAAAATTGAGTTTTAACTATAGAAATGCTAAATCCATAGCAATAGAAATCTTAATTATTATTGTTTATTATTTACCTGTAAAGCTTTGGATTGAGGCTATATAAATAAAATAAGATCTGCACACAACAAAAGCATATAGAAAGCACTACATATTTCTATTTCTGCAGAAATGCATATCATTCACATTCTACACATGCATACATTATCCGTTGTCATGTCTCGTACAGCTTTTAAACTGAAAACAGTGCTTCTGTAATTCATTATCTGAAATGGTGTTGAGTTAAGGTTTTGGGTTTTGTATATATATATATATATTTTTTTTTTAAAGAACTACAATATGAACTACAGCATTTGTGTGCATGTACCTCTTTAAAATGATCAAAGGCAGAGAGAATGATCTCATGACCTCCTCGAACCAGACACACGGCAGCCAGCAGCTCCAGCACCAGAGCTTTAGTCCTGCAATATCACACAAATCAAATCCATTTAGACATGATTACGGAGGCTATTACTGCACATTTTGGGAGAAAACTTTCTCTTTTGCATTTACACAACAGTTCAGTTCAAAGGTTTAGAACGAAGGAATCAATTACAGGAATGAATTACATTTTAAAATATATTCAAATAGAAAACAGTTGTTTTCACTTGTAATAATATTTCACAATATTACTGTTTTTACTGTATTTCTGATCAAATAAATGCAGCTTTGGTGAGCATAAGAGACAAAATAATCAACATTTCCTCAACATTTACACAGATGGAGCAAAGAACCCCTCCAACCGCACACTGAGATTAAGGGGCCTGTTGTTGTAGCTGCCAGTATTTATGACTCTGAAAGAGGAGTCACAACCCACATGAATTAAAGCGGTGGATTCTGGGAAAGTGCCCCCTCTTTCAGAGATACACACACACATTTACTCCAGCTCAATGGGTTACCTGGGATTCTTATTGTTCAGACTTAGTGCAATTTCATTCACAGCATGAGGGTGAGACATGACCATGTTGAAGCCATACTGAGAGAAAGACAGAGAGAGGGCTAATTAGTAAACATAGCAAGATCTTCAGGATTTATTATCTGAACATAAAACATGATTCAGTGTGTGTGTCTGAGTGTGTGTTTGGGTTTTCTGTACAAGTGAGGCCCAAAATGTCTTCACTAATGAACTGAAACCTGTTGAACAGCTGGACCTCACTGTTTTAAAAAAATATATTATTAATGTCAACAGGTTTGTGAGTGTTAGAGGTTGGATTTAACAAAGTCCCACCAGGACAATTTTTTGTGTGATTCTTTTTTGCTATCAACATTTTTTGGGGATTTTTTTTTTTTTTTTTAATGATTAGGAGACCACATTTGACAAGTTATCTATGAAACTAATCAAAAAACAATGCAGATTTTTTTTTTGTCTTATCAAATTCTAACACAACATTTAAACTAAATTTGTGTTACTCTTTTATACATATATTTATACAAATTAAATTGTGCTTTAATAATTTTTTAAGGCAGGTTTAGTATTTAGGTACAACAGAAATTCAGTATTACATACTGTACAGAAATTCCAGTATTACAGTAATCACTACAGTAATTCAAAAGTTTTCAATCAAACGTTAAATAAAACACTACATAGTCTTTGCACTTAATACTTAACACATCCAGCATGCCCCACAATTTTTTTTTTAATTCATGCATGATTGTTTATCACACTAACTTGTCAATTAAGAAAAAAAAAGCGGCATTTTGTTGATTTTGAATTGTGTTGTGTGATCTGGAAGGACTGAAAAGTCTATGAGAAGCTAACATAGATTCAATGGTCTGCGAGTGTTTACCTGGTAGTTCATGATGGCTCGTAGGCACATGATGCACACATGAACGTCGTCTTTCTTACATACTAATCTGGAATTCTTCAACGTCCTCCGGCTGGGTAATGTATTAGACCTGAGAGCAAAACAACAACTGAAGTTTACTAACCAATGAAATCAATAGTTCATCCAACATATGGAAATACTGTCATCATTTATTCACCCTCATGTTGTTCCAAACCCATTTGACTCTAGTTCTTCTGTGGAACACAGGAGATGCTTCGCAGAATGTCTGAGCTGTTCACATTCACTTTCACATGGAAAAGAGCAGCTTGGACATTCTGCCAAATATCTTGTTTTGTTTTCCACAGAAGAAATAAAGTTGTACAGGTTTGGAACAACATGAGGATGGTGTTTTAACTATAGCATACACTAATCGATCAAAAGTTTGGGATCTGTAAGATTTTTTAATGGTTTTGAAAGAAGTGTCTTATGTTCACCGAGGATGCATTTATTTGATCAAAAATACAGTAAAAATAGAAATCTAATTTTATTACAATTTAAAATACTTGTTTTATTTTTAATGTATTTTTTTTCCTATGATGGCAAAGATGAATATTCAGCAGCCATTATTCCAGTCTTCAGTGTCATTACCAGGATTCTTTGATCAATTGAAAGTTCAAAAGAACAGCATTTACATGAAATATAAATTACAAATGTCTTTTCTGTCAATTTCATGCATACCTGCTGAATAAAAATATTAATTTCTTTCAAAAAATCTTACTGACCCCAAACTTTTGAAAGGTAGTTCTTTCTTTTAAAAGGTAAACTATTATTTTAAAGGAATAACTACTTATTAAGATGTTTAAAATGGTTATAAGCATGAGAAATATGCATCATCTTCTTGTAAACACAAGTCTAGAGACATATCCTGATGTAGATTCACAGGACTGAATCAAGGCAGAGGGATCAGGACCACAGGAATATTCAATATCTCACACTGAAACCGTTTCTTTAAACGCTACTAGTGCTGTGTTTGGGTCTGTCAGCAGCATCTGCTGTGTGTGATGTGTGAGGATTTGCATTGTCTCAGAGCAGTTAAAGTGCTCTGTGTACACATATCACCTCCACAACACAACAGCAGCATCATTGACATGCATGACAGCCATCGGGCCCAAGCCAAAGGCTTTTATGTGTGAGAACAGAGACGCACAGCAACATATGCACACAAAGAACACACACACACACAAGCAGGTATAAAATAGATGCACACTCTTACAGATCGACAAGGGCATACAAACACACAAGACGAAAAAACAGAAAAAATAGAGAAACATGCTCGCAAAGAGACTAGAAAATGTTTACACACACAAACTAACACAAAGGGCACACAGTTCTTTCTAAGACTGTCACAAGACGAGCTGGGCGTGATTTTCTGAAAACACACACACACACACACACACACACACACGCACACACACACACACACACACATAATGCAATATGTCAGCAGCAGTGCCTGGGGGAATGGTTTGTGCTCAGTGCTGAGAACTCATTCAGCAACACAAACAGGAACATGAACACACTCATATCTGCACTAAAGGTGTGTATTGTCTATGATAATACAGTATTGTGACAGTTTTTTTTAACAATGTGGAAGCTTCAAGTAGCCTATGTCATTCACTTTGCAAAAAATAAACAAAAACACATTCGCTTTCACTGGATGATGTAGCCTGAAGCAGTTCATATAATGCAGTATATCGTATAATAATATACTTCATATATCATATGATGCACGAGATAGTTAAGCAAACACAATCAAGTCTGCTGTTTTTCCTGTATATCAGCATGATTGCAAATGCGATTTTATACAACAGTTCAATAAACAAGAAGCTAATATTGTGAGTTAATCTGCTTTTTGCTCTATTTCGCCAAAACGAAAATTATTCCAAACAAAGTCAACAGAGCTGTTGTGCGTCAGCAGAGGTGTTTTGTTTCTGAATGAATGAATCATTCATTGATCCATTCATGAAGAAAGTCAACTGCTTCGTTCCTGAATCAATTAGTAATTTGAACGAATCAGCTGAATGAATGACTCAATGACTCACTCGTTAATACAGTGAACTGCCACCTACTGGTGGTTTTAGTTTCATATTTAAAATACCATTTCATAAAATAATTTCATATTCCTATATTCAAAATTGTATTTATAAAACAATATTTTAATATATCTAAATATTGCTTATGCACTGCATACTGATTTTATTTTGATTAGTAACAGCTGTCTTATTCTAATTGAATTTATTGATTAAATGTAAGAATTTGCCATTAAATATGATGCATAAATCTAATACGGTTAGAAAAAAAAAAGCCCTTCAAAAGGTAAAACTGCCCCTGGAAATCAATTGAAGGTGTCAAATAGTGGCCTTAATGAAAAAGTTAACTGCTGTCACTACTGTGAATTGACCACCACACAAAATATGAAGAATATGAAAAGCTTCAGGAGTCGCATGTCCATGACAGGCTTAAAGCAGCCAAGATACCAGCATAAAAACACATTTAGTGAAATATTACTCAATTATCAAAATCCCAGAAAATATCGAGATATCATTTTTTGTCAATATCACACACCCCTAGCCTGCACTGATTACTAGGAGAATTTCACAGCTGCGTCATTGCTGTGATGTGGTTTGTCTTTCAACTCTGACATGAGTGGGAATGATTACATGTGAATGTGTTCACAAGGTGGTTGTCTGCTAAAATCTCATTTGACTTGTAACTTCCGATCTCTTTTGTCCAGAACATCACAAAGACCCAGAAGCCATTGCGGAGAGTACTGAATCGCATGTGTGTAATGTCTTCGTCATACTGTATAGCCGGATGTGTGACTGTGCTCATCCAGAACACAATATTCCTGTATCTGTCAGGTGATTTCACAAGCACACACGTTTAAACACATCCTCTGTGAAGTTGCAAAAGTTGATGCTTCAAGCTACGTTTTATGTTAAGAGAGCAGAAAATAATTTTGTTTTGTATGTCAGTTTAAAAAAAAAAAAAAATTACATAAAGAAATTACACATATAAATGTAATATTTCAAATATTTGGGGTTTAGAAATGGGATGCTTACATAAAATGTGAAGTTTTGTTAAAATATTTATAATAATTAATCTGAACAAATGTTATTTGAGCTTTTAAGGCCCTGCATTTTTTATTTGGGGCTTAAAAGACATTTACAATTCAGTCAATTGCATCAATTGAACTCTACTTCTAATAACTATCAAATAAGATCACTGAATGACTGAATTCAATTGAGCTCAATAATGCCACTATACTGTCTTCTGTAGAGCTGCTTTATAATTAAAATTGAAGCTATTTATTGTTTCCTATTTATTTCCTATGTGTATTTTGGTATCTGAATTTGTCATATTGTTTTGCTAAAACCTTAACTTCGGTAACACTTTCTATGAAGCCTGCATTATACTGCATGCATAATGCCTTAAAAAGTATAATCTCATGAATAATCATAACAAACATTATAATACTTACATATTTATGGTAATAATTTATGATGAAGCATGATGATTTATGACACATGATGAACAACGTTACAGCATATTTACCTAAATTATAATGTATTATATGTCTCATATCTTGAGCATTGTTTAAGAGCTACACAATATCCTACTATATCTTATAAGATGTCTTATAGTAAACATACAGTACAAAAAGCCTTATAATGTGGTCATTACATTTATAAGTGGCCTTTGTCTGTTTTATTGTAATATCAACAAAACCATATTTCATTGTTTGAGGTGTAAACGGGTTACTAGTGAGCTTAAACTAGTTAACTCTGAAATTCACATTAGTTTCACTGGTAACACTCAACACTCAACTAACAACTCATAAGACGCAGGAAGATTCTGAGCAGACCTTGAATAAACAATGTCAAGATTTGAGACTTATAATAACTTAATATATAATAATCCATTATAACGCACGTGGATATAACATGGTGTTCATCAGCTTATAATTGTCATGAAGTTATATTATAAACAGTAGATATCAATAGTCAACTCAATAGCTCATTAGTCAAGCACTATACTATTTTATTTCATGTCTACATAATTCTATAAGAATCTACAAAAATGTTTAGCTAAACTTAAACAGTAAACACAGCAGACATACCCTTGTTTCTCTGAGCATTTTGGGCATTGTGGATGAGTCTGTGTTCTTCAGGAGGGCGTTTTGGGAAATCTGAGAATTATTCTTTTAAAACTTTACACAGCACACAATTACTAAGAGCCGAGGGAAAGCACGGGAACAAAACTACTGCATGTGGGCAGAATCTATGCAATCACACCACTGGATGTACAGTTTACAGAGCTGAGAAATTCATAAATCCATTGCACAGCAGAATGATCTGAATAAACAACTGAAAATAACAAGTAAATGAGTGATTATGCCTGACAAAAGACATGAGGGCAAGTTACATCTGAGGCTGCAGGTACACAGCTAGCTCTAAATCTAAATCTAAATCTAAATCTAAATCTAAATCTAACCTCCGTAATTCAGCACATTAGAGAGACATGGAGGGGAGAGGAGAGGACACTCTATCTAAAGGACAAAAAGAACATGCCTTGTGCTGCAGATGGGAACACACAACAGGAAACTGCAGACAGGGTGACAACTGCATTAATTACACAGATACATTTAACAGAACCTGAAATCTAGCACAACGATCAAACCAAAGTGTGTTTTATTCATTTGAAGGGACACGGAATTAATAAAGCTGTACACCTAAAGAAATTAATAGCACATATTAATAGAATGTTTTATTTTTCATAAAGGCCCATTCAGACCAAGAAAGATTACTATAACTACAGTTATATCTTCTGCCACTTTTTAAAGTTAGATGGATTCATTGGCTGTCTCTGGTTTCAAAAACATAGACCAAAAGAAAAAAAGCTGAAAAGGATTCCAATAATATTGTTTCTCTACATTGTTATTGCTATCAGGGTTAAAGTTAAATACAACTAAAACTTAAACCACTGAAAAAAGGTTACTTGAAATAAAATCAACCTTAATTTATATAGTCTATAAACATTTTTTCAAAATATATTTTATTTTAGTTAGTTGCCAAGGAAGCGTTTCTCATTTCCAATTAGTTTAACTTGACGTAATAAAATAATTAAAATTGTAAAATTATAAAAACTATATAGACTTTCTAAAGTGCCACTATTATGCCATTTGTAAGGTTCCTAATATTGTTTTGGGAGCCTCCTGCAATAAGTTTACATGCATGCAAAGTCAAAAAAAAAAAAAAACGCTTTCGTTTTCTCAAATAATACATTTAATATCACCTAATTTTCCAGCGATTCTCAAACTATTAATTCAAAGCAGTTCTAAGATTAAATCACTTTAAACCCCTCCTTTCTGTGAGCCTACTCTGCTCTGATTGGTCAGATGGCCCAGTCTGTTGTGATTGGGCTAAACTCCCCGAGATTAGAGAAGCAGTCATCAGGAACACAAAGGAACACAAAAAAGTCTGGGGTTGTACTGCTGTGGTACAGTAGAAAAAATGTAAAAAAAATAACCACTGATTCTTTGCAGCCTCTTCATTCCGAAGTGAAAATAAAACGAATTTACTTTCACAGCGTCTTCTCGACATGATGTTAAAGGGGTCATATGATGCGATTTCGGGCGTAACATTTCCATCACACGCTTGAGGTATTCGGCCAATCACAACGCACTGGATAGCTGGCCAATCACAGCACACCTCGCTTTTCAGACCGATGAGCTTTGTAAAAATGGTTGCGTTTCAGAAAGGCGGGGCATAGAGGAGAAACAATAATGTACTGTATGTGGAAAATGATGTGTTTTTTGAACCTTAAACCGCATAAACACATTTCATTACACCAAATACACAAAATAATGTTCTTTTTAGCAACGTCATATGACCCCTTTAACCACACGAACAAGCTACAATGTTTGAGGGCGGGGTCAAGTTGTTCGCGGCCGGCCAACGCAGAACAGACGGGCATTATGCAAATGTGTTACTCTGTGACACATCAGCATCATATGAGTATTACTGACACATGTTCTTACTCAACGTTAATTTCTTTATAAAGCTTACTTATTCAGGATGAGACTTTGGTGTCAGATCACACTGCAGGGGCTTTGCTTTGTCTTACTCAATGTTGAAGACATATGTCTCTATGTTAGCAAAACTCCACTGAATAGCTAGGAGCTTTTGATGTGATCCAGAAGAAACAACCGAGCAGAACTCCAAAATTAGAATCTGGAATTCTCTAGCTGCTGCATAAGGGTTAGACCTTAATCCAATTTAAGTGACAGGGGGCTTAACATATTGAACCCATTCAAAATAGATCCCCTCAGGCTCAGTGTTAATACTTCTGTCCCGTCATCAGGCTGCTCAATAACAGACAGGGAAGTTCCTGTATTAATACTCATATGATGCTGATGTGTCAGTTGTCCATTCTTAATCAGAATAACCAGTTTTGTGAGTCAGCGGCCAGACAGACAGACAGACAGACACATGTCGACTGTGTTCTGACATGGTGCACTGTTTCCTAAGCCATTTAAAGTCATACAGGCCTCATGACTATATATACAAAAGAGCCTTTCAGAAAACACATGAAGTCTGTACACACTCTCTGCAGTCGGACAAACCATATTGCATTTAAATTAAAACTATCAGATGCTATCAGTGTCTTGTTTGCTATGATTCTGCTGTACGCCTAAAAAAATAAAAAAATAAATCAGTTAGTGTTCCTGTGTGTTCACACCTTATCGTTGAATGTCTGCTGGCTCTGGAGATGCTGTTGCCTGTGACAGCCGACGAGAGGTTGTTTCCACCATGGAGATCTTCAATTGATCGATTCCAGGGTTTAGATTTATCCACAGAATGTTCTGTGCTGTTCTCAGAACTGTCACCGTCAAACCTGTCAAGCACAGAACAGCAGGAGATCAGGATAGGGACAAACTTACCACAAAGAGAATATTATATAGTCTTTTATTATTATTATTATTGTACAACCACCTAAAATATACTTTATTTATCTGTGGCCATGGGACATTTGCTTATATGCAGTGCAAAAATGATAATCCTAACCCTAATTCACGTAAGAAACATGCTGTATTAAAACTTTCATAAAATAATAATTTAAAAATCATGGTAACACAATCTTATTTTGTGTTGTGAATGTAATGACAGATTTTTAAAAACTACATTTGACAAATATTCAGATTTTCACATTTATATGTTTTTAAAATCAATAAATTGATCAAAAGCAAAAGTATCATAAGTACTATAAATGCTGTTATTTTTGACTTTCTATTCTTGAAATAATCTTGAAAAAATGTATCATGGTTTCCACAAAAATATTAAGTAACAACTATTTTCAGCATCCATAATAATAATAATAACAACAACAATAATAATAATAATAATAATAATAATAACAACTATTCAAACATATCAACATACAACTATTTCTGAAGGATCAAGTAATGATGCTGAAAATTAATCTTTAAAACATTACATTTTGGAATAACATTTCATAATATTAAAGTTTTTTTCCAGTATATTTAATAAATTAATGAGTGTATGAGACTTTTTTTTTTTTTTCAAAAACACACAAAAAAAACTTTTGAACACTAGTGTATAGTGTGTTGTATTGAGTCATCAGGGTGTGATAACAGTCTTTACCCCAAAACACACGAAAACATGTTCATTTCTTATCAGGATTAAAGTGCTATTGGTTGTAAATGAGATCTTGTGACTTCATCTGATCTCAGTGAACAGGCTGCACACATTCTCTAAAACACACA